TTTTTTGGGTACCAGGGATTGAACTCAGGTCCTTGTGCTTGCAAGGCAGGCCACCGAACCACTGAGCTAAATTCCCAGCCCCTCACTATGTAGTTGATACTGATCTGGGACTCACTATGTAGCCCAGACTGGTCGCAAACTCACTGCGATCCTCCTGCCTCAGCCTCCCAAGTGCTGGGATTACAGGCGTGTGCCAACATGCCCGGCTTAACACAAGATTTTTAATAATACCATGATATTTACTTGCTTAAAATTTAAAATACCATCATAGAATTTTTAAACAATAAAATAACTATCTTTGAATAAGTAATTATCTTGCACTCTATCAGAAGATTTTTTTTTCTTTTTAGTTCTTTCTAGGGAAGAAGAGTGTTATCATTTAGCTTTTTTGGAGTCTTTGATCCCTAAGGAACAATAAGAGATTATTTCAATTCTTTCTATAATAATTCTATGGTATATAAATTTTCCTATACCTCCATTTTATACTTCTTGCATTGTAACTTTCCATAAATTATTATAAAATTGTACAGTAAGTACCCTGTCTGTGGTGACAGATGTGCAGATTATCAGACTTTTCATATTTCAGAACAACTCAAAAATAGTATTTTAGCTGGATGTGGTGGCACGTGCCTATAATCCCAGGACCTTAGGAGGTTTAGAGGATCGCAAGTTTGAGCCCAGCCTGGGCAACTTAATTTATCAAGACCCTGCCTGTCTTAGAATTTTTAAAAAGCTGCTACCACTAAAATTTTTGAAGGCATTCTAAGTAGATTTTTAAAGTTGTGATAATTCTTAATACTTCATACTTCAAAGTGCTTGCTGTAATCCTTGGATACATTTTGTAATTGTCACACTTAGAGTGGTTAATAGCTGCCTAAGAGATTAACAGCTGGAATTTGAACTCAGGTCTTTGGTTTGTCATTCAGTATTCCTGGGCTGAGAGTGTACCTCAGTGGTAAAGCACTTGCCTATCATTTGCATGGCCTTGGGTTCAATCCACAAGAAGAGAGGGAAAAAAGTACAGTATTTGCCAGGCATGGTGGTGCACACCTGTATTCCCAGCACTTCAGAGGCTGAGGCAGGAGGATCGCTGCAGGTTTAAGACCAGCCTTGGGCTACATTGTCAAGACCAGCCTGACCTATATAGTGAGATCGTGTCTCCAAAAAAAGCTCGAGAGGGTCAGAAATATTTGATATTCACTGAGGTATTCAAATGCCTAAAATAGCATCTGGTGTATGCTGAGCACTCATTAAATATTTAATAACTGAATCTGCCTAAGATTCTTCTTTCCAGTGAAGAACTCTTTTTTACCTTTTCATTCTTGAGCTTGAACCCAAGGCCTTGCACATCGAAGCAAGTGCTCTGCCACTCAGCTACATCTCCAGTCATTTTTATTTGTGACAGAGCCTCATGAAGATTCACAGGCTGGACTCAAACTTGTGATCCTCCTGCCTGAGCCTCCCCCTGACTGGGATTCCGGGTGCATCCCACCACACCCATCCTGAAGGACCCTTCTTAACGGATGACTTCTGTATCACTGCAGCACCATTAGTTACCTCTGCCCAGATCTTTTCTTCCTACTCTGCCCTTTCCCTTGTCTTCTCTGTGCACAGGAGATGACTGTTCGGTGCCTATGCCTTTTGTTTTTTTGGTGGAATCCCTCCTAGACCTCTACCATAAAAGACTCTGAGACATATGTTCTTAAATGTCTGGTACATTTTATGTCTTGCCCAGCACAATGAGTTTTGAAGCTATTACATATGAAAAGAAAATCTTGTTTTGCTTTTTAAGTAATGAAACTGCAACGATGTGAGCACTGGCTTATTTTGCATATTGGTAAATAGTGGTGATGGGACCCGTGAAAGGCAAAGCCATTGGTTCTTTGCCTTACTAAACAATTTCTATCTCCAGATTTTCAGCTTTGGCTAATAGACCCCTTTTATTAATATTTTTCCTTGTTAAATTCTCTGTAGTCATGGTCTTGTTAGCTTCATAATACACATACACTGTTTGTGTAACATTACCTTACTAGTCTTCTGTTGAAACTGTGCTTTAGTCTAACCTGCCTACTTTCCTCAAGTCTAAAATGGGTGGCTGCTAAGGACACTATTGTTATTTAGTGTCTTTCCTTTCCTTCACCTTTGGTTACGTGGGCTCAAGTAATCATTTAACCAAACGATAACAAAGCACTATAAAGAGTTTTGGATTTGGAGATTATCTAGAATTACTGATATTCAGTCAGAGAATTATTATCCATTATTAAAAGCTGAAGTAGGGCCAGGGATTTAGCTCAGTGGTTCCACCACCTGCCTTGCAAGCACAGGGACACTTTGATCCCTGGTACCAAAAAAAAAAAAAAACCACACACACACACACACGAGGAATGTGGTCATTATGTACTGTAAGAGGCATGTACCAATAAAAAATTTTTAAATAAAAACTAACAACTGAAAATAAAGCACAAACTAGGTAGCATTTAAATTAAATGGTGTATTTTTCTTTAAAAGAAATGTTAAAACTGTAGGTTGAGGCAGAGACTCGCCTTTTCTTAGTTTATTGTCAGAATTGTGAATTTATACTTTTCATTTGCTGACAGATATTTCTCTTAACTGTGTTCTCTTTGTAGAAAATCTTTGTTATTGTAACATTCAGCAAGCACATCGTGGAGCAGATGGTGGCTTTCATTGGGTGAGTGACTTTCCAGTCCACTATGACACACGTTGTCACTGCTGCCGTGGGTGTTGGAGTGGAGTAAATGTATAGACTGATTTGGGAGAGAACTTTTGAGATAGCTCTTTGTTTGTTTGAGAAACAAAAATCTTTCGCCTTATGAAACTGAAGAATTCTTATCCTATAAAAGGAAGGACGGTGTTCACTTGTCCTTGTATCACTGTAAACCAAACATCAAGTCATATATCTTTTCCTGTGTAGGAAATCAAACCCAAGGCTTTGTACATGCTTTGCAAGCATCAAGTCACATAATTCTTGATTTTAAAATACTTTTAGGGGGACTGGAGATTTAGCTCAGTGGTACCACTACCTGCCTTACAAGCACAAGGTCCCAAGCTCGATCCCCAGTACCAAAAAATATATATATATACTTTTAGGTTTTGAGTCTGTAGCCTCTCCAAAGGCATGAAAATTTCTCTGTATAAAAGACATATGTGTATCATTATAGTTTAAGAGTGTTTTAATAAAATGCTATGAGTTTGGGCCGAAATGGGATGGCACGTACATAGTTGCATTAATATAAATCTTACCATAAATTTAGTATTTTATTAAATAAAGCATGATAGGGAGGCATAATATTACCAAAATATATGAGGTATGAATCAGTTACTTCACTAAAGAAAAATTAGGACATTTTTACAAGGCGAAGCTATAAACTAGCCTGGCATGATGGCTTATGGTTGTAATCACAGCAGCCTTGGAGGCGGAGGCAGGACTAGTAGAAACTCAGACCTAGCCTGGGGATTTCAGGAGATCTCGTCTCGAAAAGGGATGGGTATGTAACTTAGAACGAAGGCCCTGGAGTTGTGCTTAGTGGTAGGATGCTTACTAACAAAAGGCCCTGAATTTGATCCTCAGAGCTGAAGGAAAAAGAAATTTTTTAAAAAAGAAAGAAAACTAGGGTTGGAGGAGTGGCTTAGGAAGTGCTCTGACCTCAGCATGAGGGGTAGAGTGCATCCCTTGGATGTATGAAGCCCTGGATTCATTGTCTAGTGCCAGGGAAAGTAAAGATTCCAGATATTGGCCAAATGTTGCATTGGAAGTAAACCCATCACCCACAATGAGAATCAGTGGCCTAAATAATGACCTCTTTTTTTTTTTTTTTTTTTTTTTTTTTAAAAAGTTTTTTTTTTTGGGGGTTTTTTTTTTTTTTTTTTTTTTTTTTTTTTAGAAAAGTTATTTATTTTGGGGGTTTTTTGTGTTGTATGTTTTTGTTTTTTTGAGACAGGGTCTTGCTATGTAGCTCAGGCTGGCCTTGAACTTGGAAGTCCTCCTGCCTCAGCCTCCCAACTACTGGGATTTCAGGCATGCACCACACCCAGCTTCAGTAATGATGTTTAGGTGTCAGTTATTTATTGCATTCTCAGAAAAGGAACTTTCTGTATCAGGAACCTCTCTACACAGCAGCATGTACGACTTGCACTTATACTTGTATTTTTACATTCCTCTTGTCTCTCTCTCTCTTTTCCTGTCTCTCTCTCTTTTCCTCTCTCTCTCTTTCTTTTTCTTTCTCTCTTATAGCTTTTTGAGATGGAGTTTTAGTACTGAGTCTTTAAATTGCCCAGGCCGAACTTGGAATTCTCCTGCTTCAGGCTCCTAAAATACCAGTATTTGAGTCATGTGCCACCACGCCCAGCTGTATTTTCACATTTGTATTTGTGGGTTTGTGGGTATATGAGGACTGCTTCTTGCTGCTAACCTGTAAGCTTCCTAATGGCAGAGAACATATCTATTTTTGTTCACCACAATGTTCGTAACACCTTGCATCTTGACTGGTGTGAAACAGGTGCTCGGCACACATCTGCTGAGTAAAATGAGCACATGTTGTCCAAATACAGATCTGCCCAACAAAAGTCAGTAGTTACTTATGTTGCCCAGATTCTACTGTTTGGTTCCCTGGCCCTTGGAGTTTTGGAGAAATTACATTATTTATCAACAGTAAATAGAAATGTAAATGCCTTTAATTTTAGAAAAATGTAATTTACTCAGAGTATCTTATGTTTTTCAAAATCAGTAGTTTGTTTGGTTTTTGGTATGGAGAGTGAACTCAGGGCATTTGCATGGAGCTACATCCCAAGCCCTCTTCATCTTTTGAGACAGGGTCCTGTGAAATCACTGTGTTGCCCAGGCTGAGTTGGAATTTGGGGCCCCCTTGCTCAGTGCCCCCAGAGCCTGGGGTTAGTGGCCAGCACCTCCGTGCCCTGCTGGGCAGTCTTTTTTTTTTAAGCTCCACGAGCATGGCCTCAGGCATTCCAGTGGTTCTGCCCTCTAAATGATAAGTTTGCATAAATTTATTCTAATATATTCAAAGCTTACCAGAGTCCAACTTCTATGGATTGAAATAGTTGGTGTCATATTTTAAAGAGTATTTTGAGGAGACAGGTGTTGGAATACCCTTGCCTTTTTCCCAGAACTGTTCACAGGGATCACCTCAGGTTCTTTTCTAGATAGTATATTAAATTCTGGAACTAATCAGACTCGGCAGGTGAGAGTGAGTGGTCTTTTTTATCAAATGCCAAAAGGTGTCTTTTTAGTGTTTGTCACTATAACATTATCTTGTAATGAGATTCTCCAGTTCAGCATGTCCTGATTTATTTTCCTGTTTTGAAATGCTTTTAAATATAGTCAGAACTAGCAAACTGGGCTGCTGACAGAGCTCTTGCCTAGCATAGGAAAGGCCCTGGATTCCATTCCCAGCATTTCAAAATAATAATATTGATAATAAAGACTACATATACTCACTGAACTGAGAATTAAGATTAACTAATGAAAAGAATGAACTTTTTTAAGATAGAATCTTACCTGTGTTGCGAAAACTGGCCTCAAACTCTCAAACTTCTGGGTTCATGTGATGTTCCTGCCTTAGCCTCCCAAGAAGCTGGGACTATAGGCATATCACCATAGTCAGCACCAAGAACAAATTTTAAGTAGATCTAAATTTTATGATAGCGTATCATTGATCAGAATAGTCAGGCATGGTGACACACTCTTATAATCCCAGTGCTATGGGAGGCTGAGGCAGGAACCTTGATCCTAGGTTCAAGAAGAGCCTGGGTAACTTGGGGGGTAGACCTACCAAGACCTGTCTCAAAATGAAAAAAGGACTGAGGATGTAGCTCAGTACGAAGGTCCAGGATTCAATCCCCAGTATGGAAAAGGAAGGAAGGAAGGGTGGGAGGGAGTGAAGGAGGAGGAAGGGATTACCAGTTTATTTCAGAAAAGACAGCGTTTGGATTGACTCATTGGATCCATTGTAGAGTTGAAAATACTGCCTCTAACTTGCTATGCAAACATTGTCCTTCATATGGTTAAAACTCCACAGGATATAGCAAGTCATCAAACTAAACAAGTTTAGAATGCTGTCTTTTAGTTTTTGTTTTATTTTGTTTGAGACAAGGTTTTAAGGTTGGCTTTGAACTCACTATGGATCTCAGGCTGGTTTTGAACTCATAGCGATCATCCTGCCTCCGCCTCCTGAGTGCTGGGATTACAGGTATGCACCACCACACCCAACTCCTAGGGTTCAATCTTTTGAAGGGTGTTTAAAACTTTGTACTCCCAATTAAGGAAGGGGTAGATTTCCATGGTAAAAACAAAACAACAAAAGATAGGCAAGAAAGTGGGGTGTGGTGGTAGATGGCTATAATTCCAGCACTCTAGGAGGCTGAGACAGGAGGACCTCAAATTCCAGCCTAGCATAGGCATCTTGGTGACTTAATGAGATCCTGTCTCAGAAATAGAGGAGCTGGGGATGTAGCTCCTTGTGAAGGCTCTGGGGTTCAATCCTCAGTAACAAAACAAAACAGCACTGGCTTTGGACAAATCTAGATTGGAATTTGAGATCCACCGCAGGGCAGTTATTTACTTTCTCTCTGTATCTGCTTCTAGTTGCTATTCTTTCAAACTTTTTTAAGTAGCATTTTTTCTCCGATTCAGGAGGCCTCTGATAACCTTTCCAAGTCTAGTCAAAATGTATAATGTTTTGTAACCAACTATTTTACAGTTTAGTTGAAATACACTCCTATTAGTGAGTTACTCTTCCAAAGCATGTGGATTTTTAAATGCCTTTTTCAAATTTGATATTGTCTGTGTTCTCAAGTTATTTCCATAGTTCCTCCTGACTGGATGAAAAGGCTGGCAGCTAAGTGCTGTGTAAGGGTTGAAGGAAAGCCCACCTCTCCTTAAAGTATCCCTCTTACTTCACTCCTTGATCACTAAAATGCCTTCATTGAAGACAAGGCTCTTATCCAAGATGATACTACTAAGAATTGTTTGTTTGTTTGTTTGTTTGTTTGTTTTTGGTGTTTTGAGACAGGGTCTCACTATATAGTTGACACTGACCTGGAACTCACTATGTAGCCCAGGCTGGTCTCGAACTCACAGCGATCCTCCTGCCTCAGCCTCCTGAGTGCTGGGATTACAGGCATGCGCCACCACGCCCGGCTTTTTGTCCATTTTAATGGAAACAGTCACCTTGTATTTTGATCATACCACATACATTATTCCTGTAGGTGACTTTCCCCTCTCCTGTTGGTGGATATTTGGATGGGCTCCCTGTTTCTGCCATTTTGAATAATGCCCTGACATGCATGACTTTAGTCGGTGTAGGTATGGACATAGGAAAGAGCCTAAGACAATGATGAAAGGGACAATGCAGTAGAGGGAAAGGTGAATAAAAAGAGATATAGGAACCAGGCATGGTGGCACCTGCCTATAATCCCAGCACTCTGGGAGGCTGAGGCAGGAAATAGCAGGTTTCACAAATTAGCAGCATAGTGAGACTTCACAAAAAGTAAAATGGGCTGAGACTATAATTCATTGTGAAGATCCTGGGTTCAATGCCTAGTACCCAAAAAAAAGAGACATTGGGCATAAGCAAGATACTCTGGTGTTCTGGGCAAATCCACACCACAGTTGTAGGGCAAGGTGTTTGCTCTCCCCAGGTAGAAGGGAAGGCG